CTCAGTCACCATGATATGGAATATCTGTTGATTTAGTTTTTCTTCATGAGTGAACTTCTTTTTATAACAACACATGGAAGCAGAGAGCAATGTACTATTCAATAGTATATCTTTTCCAGGAATATATTGATTGGGGACTATGGATAAATGCTAAAAAGCTGCTATAACAAATAAGCAACAACATTTCAATAGTGGGACATAATAGAAGTTGATTTCTCACTTAGATAGAGTTGAGTTTAGATACAATGGAGTATTACTCAGCCATAAAAAGGAATGAAATTGGGTCATTTATAGAGAAGTGGATAGACCTAGAGACTGTCATTCAGAGAGAAGTAAGTCAGAAAGAGAAAAACAAATATCGTATATTAACGCATATATGTGGAATCTGAAAAAAAAATTGGTATAGACAATCTTATTTACAAAGCAGAAATAGAGACACAGACGTAGAGAACAAAAGTATGGATACCAAGGGAGAAGCGAGGGGGTGGGATGAATTGGGAGATTGGGGTTCACAAATATACACTATTGATGCTATGCATAAAATAGATAACTAATGAGAACCTACTGTATAGCACAGGGAACTCTATTCAATGCTCTGGGGTGATCTAAATGGGAAGGAAATCCAAAAAAGAAGGGATATATGTATATATATAGCTGATTCACTTTGCTGTACAGTAGAAACTAACACAATATTGTAAAGCAACTATACTCCAATAAAAATTAAAAATAAATAAATAAATAAAGTTTATCCTGTAAGCATCACTTAAAAAAAAATAGAAAGCAAGTGTTTATCATTGTCAGGCTGCTCTCCTCCATGTGGTCACTCAGGGTCTCAGGCTCTTTCGGGCTAGTATCTCTGCCATTCCTTTGAGTTTAGAGTCCTTTAAGCCTAGACAGTGGACAGGAAAAGAGCCTGGAAGATAGATTATGGGAGGCTATATAGGCCAGTCTTGGTGAGCTTTCTGCACATCACTTCCCTCTCATCCCATTGGCTAGAACTTGGTCCATGGCCACACCTACCTGCATGGAAGCTGGGAGATGCAGCATAGCTGTTTGCCAAAGAAGAAGCAAAATCAGGTTTGATGAGTGACTAGTCACCTTCTGCCACTCCACTGAAACAAAATTTTCTCCTACTAGGTGGGCCAGCTTGGGCAAGATAGTTAGTCTCTCTCAGACCCAGTTTTCTTACCAGTAAAATCAGGATAATAATGGTGCTTAACTCACAGGGAGGTTGTGAGATGAGGCTTAGATGAGATAATGCATGTAAAATGATAAGCTCAAAGGCTGGGATAGTCTATGTGCATTATAATCATAATCATAACTATTATTATTCCTATTACTATTATTAATGGTATTAAAAATACCCGCTTTTATGCCAAGGTCATTCTAAGCAAGAAGTTATCATTAAAAAAATTTTTTCTGGATCCCTTGGGTCTCTGAAAAGCCGCAGCTGCCTTCATAGTCTGCCATCCCCACCATTAATTCCACCCTCAGTTTCTCTAGCTGCCTTTTAAATCCTAAGCCACTAGGAGGAGAGAAGCAAAGAGTTCAGTTCTTTGACCACATATATATTAAATATCAAGTTTTACAAAAGACAGTATTATCCATCATCAGGCAATGATAAACCATAATGAAATATAATTTCACTTGTACTCAACCACACATTTTATGAGAATACCATAAAGCTTTACCATTGGCCTCAGAAAGCAATAGTAAACCTCTATGATTCCTTATGTTCTACTTTCCTGGGTGACTTCAACAAAGACAACTATTGATTTTGAGTTGTCTGAAGTACACTCTATAAAAAAATTATCCTCAGTCCATGGCTTTCTTTTTACCAGACTCAAATAATGGGGAAAAATAGTGGGGGGTACCACAGGAATACACATCCAAGACAGTTGTATGGAATCTTGTGGTTAACGGCAGCCTCCATTGTAATTGTGCTCAAACCTGAATCCAGAAGCCAAAATCCTAGCAGTGCAGATCTGTCTCGAATAGAAACCCACATTCTTTCTAAAACCAAACTGAGTCAAAACAGAGACCATAGAGATGTATTACTTCAATTCCACAGAGGACTCCAACCTTCATAGGTTTTTTAATGATCCATTATTGTATTTGATCCTCACGACACCCCTGTGATAGAGATAATAAGCCCCATTTTACAGATAAGTTTTAAAAAATAAATAAATAAGGCTCTCAATTAAAAGAGATTGCCCAAGGTCATAAAGTTGTGGCCTACTTGTGACAAGAGCCCAATTCTTCTGTTCTGATTCGTGGAGCATCACTCATTCCTAATTGCTGACTTCTCATCATGCACTATCAAAAACCAGGATGCACCCAAGTAGAAGGGAATATATCAAAGGAGCCAACTTAGAAATATGTGGGCTGGGGGAGGGACAAAGAAGCGAGGGGCTGTGAAAAATGTATTACAAACTCAACACAGTCCAAAGTCAATGACCCCGAATGAAGCTGGGAGAGATGAAATCCTTAAGAAGTCAGGAGCATTTAATTCTGGAATGGATGCAGGGATGAGATGCTAGCTCCAGGGGTGGCCCCCTTAGAACCAAGGCGACACAACACCCCGACTGGATCATACTCCAGTGGCCCAAAGGAATATGGGCAGCGATGGAGCCTCCTGCATCCTTAGAGGAGAAAGATGCCCTTAAGTCTTCTGAAGTCCCTGGCCTTCCACCTTCACACAACAGAATGACTACGGTAAACCACCAAGCTGCCTGAGGTGACCATGGCCAGAGGACACGATGGTGTGTATGAAAGGAAGCATTTCAAACAGTGGGGGTTTATTTCCTCTCTTGCTTATTTCCCCAAAATGCCTGCAGAAAAGAAAGATAATCAGCATCTGAGCAGCTGTGGACAGACAGTTCACAAGGAGATGCTTTGTTCTTCCTAACCGATGGGAATTTATTTTCAGATTTTAATTTAAAACGCAGAGCTAACCCCAAACCCATCATTACAGTTGCTTACTAATCCTCTCTAGCTTGTGTATTTCCTTCATCACTGCGTGAATTTTTGTTTTGTTTTGTTTTGTTATGTCATGTTTTTTCCCCGTCTCTGATTGCCCTGCTCAAGCTTGCTGTAAGGTATGCAGGTGGGTGCGGTGGGTACACATGGAGACATTTGCACTGCCTCTGTCTCACCTACAGCACTGTCACCTACAAGCAGAGATTCTACTACAGAGGCAGTAAAACCACCTGCGGGAGGCACAGAGGCTCCAGGGCGTCCTGGAATCATTTGGAAACAAGGTTGCCTTGTGTGTACCCATAATTGCAAAAACTCATCCGTAGCCTCCATTGCCCCCACCAAGCTCCACTGCCTCCTCTTCTACCCCAAATCCTCCCCTGAAAATATAAGTTCCTCCCAAGCACATGTTACCCAAAGGGTAAATGCAGTCGCCTTACAGAAGCATTTACGCTTGAAGACAATAATAAGAAATGACTAGAAGAAACCGGTGGTGAGTCAAAAGCTAGTAGCAGCTGATAGCTTTTGTACAACCTGTCTCAAGCAATTGGTAAGGGTGATGTCAACCCACCCATGGGAGACACCCAGCTGGTTAATGGTCTGCCCCAATCTGCATCAGATCTTTCTGACGACAGCCTCCTCTCCAAGTCATCTAAAGGAAAAGGCAAGTGAGTACACCTTTGCCATCAGCTGTTTGCTGCACTGCTGTCTTGTCTTAGGTGAACTTCGTCATTTGGAGCCTGACGTTAGGAAAAAAGGATAAAGGGCTGTTTTCACATTTTATCTAGGCTGCTGTTGGAGTCTGAAAGGCTTCTGTTCTACACCAAAGCCCTCAGTGGCTTGGCAAATGTGACAAGTGTGATTAGGCTGGACCCTTATTCTAACAGTCATCCTCGAGGTAGTGCCGAATTTCATATCAGGACAACCATTAGAGCCTTTCCTCCATCACCAGGTCCTTGAAGAGGGCTGAGTTGGACTGTAATATGCATTCCCAGCAACACCCTACTCAGAGATCTTCCGGGCACAGTGAACGTTTTTTCCAGCTGAATTGAATGCAAAGGAGTTTATATTGAAATAGTCAAAGGATCCCTTTCCTCTCAAAAAGGTCTCCTGGGGGGTGATTTTCATTATCTCCTTGACCTTTTATACACTTTTTTCAGGTTCTCTGACACAAACATTTATTACTTTCATAATCACTTACTTGAAAATCAGTTGTATAAAAAAATGAAGACTCCTTAGAAGCCCCTAAGACACTGCCTCTAAGAGGGTAAATTTCTATTCTGAAAATAGATAAAATGCCAGCTTCGCCATGATCCCTACAACCTTAGCTTTATTGAAATGATCATCTTCACAGAGAGGGGAAAATCTGTGTTGGACCAAGTCTTACACATCTCTGAAGCTACCAGGATACAGATACCGTATACATACGTCATGTACCTCATATACGTATGTGCGTGTACACACACACGTGTAAAACCTCTGACTACAGCTTCAGGGTTTCAGGTTAGGCATTTAGGTAACATTTATTTTCTGGCTGGAGAGGCAATTTAAGCCCTAGATTCTAGAGATGTGTGTAACCTTCCTTCTGTTAAGTTTTTTAGCCACAAAACTACACGTGTCTTGGGCTTCCCTGGTGGCGCAGTGGTTGAGAGTCTGCCTGCCGATGCAGGGGACACCGGTTCGTGCTCCGGTCCGGGAAGATCCCACATGCCGCGGAGCGGCTGGGCCCGTGAGCCATGGCCGCTGAGCCTGCGCTTCCGGAGCCTGTGCTCCGCAACGGGAGAGGCCACAACAGTGAGAGGCCCGCGTACCGCAAAAAAAAAAAGAAAAACTACATATGAAACTCCAGTTTTCCTCAACCCCCAAAACTTTAGTTTTTTACCACACTGGAAGGGTCAGGGTTGCTGCCACCATCTAAAAGGATTCAAGTGCACTGGAGCAAGCTTTCGCCGAAACCCTGCACTACATTGGAGTGCTTCTCCCAAACGTCTGGGGGCTCCACAAGTCAAGAGGAAAATGTGTACCTCAAATTCAATGGAGAGAAGAGTGTTGATCCCTCCTCTGCTGTGTCTGGACAGTGGCAGGGATGCTGCCTGACTTCTCTCTAAAGTTTCCAAGATTTCTTCCATTTCTCTTTTGATTGGAAACAAAACATGAAGAGAGAAAAATTCACTTGTGCCCTGCCATCCTTTCTTTTGCTGAATTGCTAGCTTTGTTCTTGCCTCCCTGTATTCGTCAAAGGCTACTCCAGAAGCACAGACAGGTACCTGGCTCTAAGTGGCCTCTTTGAAAGAGCAGGCCACGGAGGCCAGTGGAGGGTGCTGGGGTCACTGATTCAGGTAAAGCATGAAGGCAGGGAAAGAGCCTGGGTTAAGGAGACCGAGGGACTCACTGCATCCAACCCTCGCTCCCTCTCCCAGATCAGCTTCTTTCTGCGTATCAGCTGTGTTTTCTCTTAACTTCGGTAAGAAAGGTTGATGACTTTGCTCCTGGAAGCTCTTATACATCACGATGGAGATTAAGGCTTCAGTTTGAAAATCTAGGGAAGGACTCTGACCTCCTGGCTGGGGTTGTTGTGAGGTTAGGGTTCCAAAACAATACTACGTTCATTATCTCATTTGAACCCTACAAGAAAACTATTTACAAATATTATCACCTTGTTTCAAAGATGAGGAAACGGAGACTAAACAGGCTTAAGTGGCTTTCCCAGTGTCTCAGAATTCAAGAGTGAGAGCAGAGAAGCCCCTGTAGTAGAAGATAGAAACAGAAGGTAATAATAAATATGCTGTAATAGTTAAAATCAATGTATTGTTTTACAATGATTGCTTTACAATCAATAAAAATCAATGTATTTGTTTCTGTTGTTTGGTGCTAAGCACCCTTTATGCATTACCTCATTTATCCTTCCATGAACTGAACGGTGAAGGTTCTGTTATTATCATCATTCTACAGAAGAGAAAACCAATAGGCGAGGAGGTTTAATAGCTTGCCCAGGGGTACGTGGTAAGGGGAAAAGAGTCAGCCACATGTGCACTCTGAGCCACTAATCTGCAATGTGGTCCCTCTGCCCAAAGGTCTGTTAATCTATTAGCATGAAAAAATCCACTTTGTGAAACAATAATGACAGACAATATATAATTCAATGGTAAATTGTGTAGGATACAGCATGTGTTCTATAGGAATTCAGAGCAGGAAGAAATTAAATCCATGTGACCTAAAGTAGTCAGGAAAGACTTGATGAAAGTTCTGGGGTCCAAAGGATGTAGAGGAGATAGCTGAAAAAGCATTTAAGGAAGGAGGACAGCATAAAAAAGATAGTCAGTCAAAAATAACTTTGGTGTTTTTGAGATAGAGAGAAGAAAATGAGTAGAATGGAAAAGCCAGTCTCTGAATCTTCTTTGTTTTCCCATTACTTCACCTTAGTATTATCATTACATTTTTTAATAATTCAGAGCCCTCCTTCAGAATCTGATAAAGCCTATGGCTTCTCTTTCCTCATTAAAATGTACATATACTCTGATATCACTTATATGTGGAATCTAAGAATACAACAAACTAGTGAATATAACAAAAAAGAAGCAGATTCACACATATAGAGAACAAGCTAGTGGTTACTAGTGGGGAGGGGGGAGGGACAATATAGGGGCGGGGAGTGGGAAGTACAAACAGTTGGGTGTAAGATAGGCCATAGGACTGTATTGTACAACATGAGGAACAAAGCCAATATTTTGTGAAAAAAATGCTTAAAATGGTAAATTTTATGTTATGTATATCTAACCACAATAAAACTAGGAATAAAAAAATTATGCCATCCTCAAAATAAATAAAAAGTCAGCATTCTTAAAAGGAAAAAAAAAATTTTTACATGCTCTCTACAAATTGTATTGTGCATAAACGCTACAACTGACGGTCCCCGCACCCAGCCATATAGAACTTCCTTCCCCAAACAAGCCTATCCATGAAATTCTGCTGCAGAACTTCTGCACTAAAATGCCCTAGGTTGGATTGATTTTTAGGTTAAATAGAGCCAGGTACCAGGTTGTATGGGAACTACTTAAGACATGAAAACCTGGACTCTATGTGCTGGTAATTTCAGCCTCAGTCTAGGTCCTCAACATTCATGTCCTGAAGTACTCTACTTCTTCATTTGGAAAATATTTATGGAATACCAAGCATCTGTGCTGGGCTCTGGCAGGACCCAGTCTCCCAAGAACTCATGACTGACTCCCTTGTGTTGGTTTTCACCCTGACATTTCTGTCCATCATCTAATCTTGCCTTCCTCCTTTCTCTGTGGATTGTAGGATGCTTTAGCATTTGGAAGGGTTCAGGATATACTCCATTACCCTAACGTTTCCTTTCTCCAGCCTACATAGTTGATTCATCTCACATTTGCCTGCTAAACAAATCCTTTATAGATAATTTCACTCTCATCTCTAGGTTTTCTAAAATACAACTCTCTCTTTATAAGTGGAGGCTATTATGTATCTAGAAGGTCGTGTGGCTTCTTGGAAGCCAGGCACCTTTAAAGCCAAAGTTCAAAATTTGGCTCAACCACTTCCTGGCTGCAATGTCTTAGGGAAGATGAAACTCATTGGCCTTGGTTTTTGGATCTGATAAGTGGGAGTAATAATAATGTCTGATCTCGGATGGCCTCGGCCTGCAGCAGCTTGAAGCAAGATTTCAGTTCCTCAGCCAGCGACTGGAGTCCGGCCACGGCAGTGAGAGCATTGAATCTTAGCCACTAGACCACAGGGCCAGTGGCCAGTGACAAGGCCCTGGCCCATTGGCTTTGTAGAAATGAATTTCCAAAAAATGATGGAAAGTAGTGAAACAAGTAAAGTGTTTATTAGGAAGAAAAAGGGTACATGGGGCCAGACACACGGGAGGGCTCAGAGAAAGTGTCACACCCTCGTGGTAGCTTGAATCACTTAAGGCATTTCTTCTGGGTTTCCTTTGGCCAATCATCTTGCTTTGTCTGGTTCTGAGTCCATATTTGGTTTATCTCAGGGTCCTCCCATGTTCTGCGTGCATCTCCTAGCCAAGATGGATTACAGCACAGAGGCTTATGGGTAGGTTGATATCACCTACTATGGGGTGGTGCCCCCTCCCCTTTTGACCTCCAAGGAGCCTTTCTGAGCACATATAGTGAGGAAGTTCTCTTTGACTTCAAGAATGAGGAATATGTGGTCTCTTTATCTTTTATCTGGGCAGGGCTCAGCTCTCTCTGCCCTGCTATAACCTTTATCTTCGAGCATCTGTCCACAGGGGACAGACTCCAGCCTGGGGCCCACCTATCTCCTGCCTCATGTCTACATTTCACAATTATCATACAGGAAAGAAGTAACTGATACCTGGTGTTTGGCATTTAGTAGCTGTTCAGAAAATTAAAGTATATGTATTTTTTCATACTTTTCAACTTGTGTATTGCTTTACCTTTAAACTCTTGGAGAGCAAAACAAATCAACAAAAAAGCTAGAATCATGTGTCATTTAATCTTGAGAGGGTGAGGAAATTTCTTGTGGCGACGTTAAAGAAGTAATCAGAGCTTTCTTTGTGTAACTCAAAGTTTAGAATTATTCCTGAGTTCAGCTATTAGACAGTGTTGCCCAAATCCAGTTTCCTACTTCAAATGAGGTACATGTCCTAATTATTTGGCTAACCATGCAATAAGAGACTTTTTACTTTAAAGCATCAGTTTTGAATCCCTGTGTTGCTAGGGATATATTTCAGTGCCAGGGGACCTTGTTAGACCACTTCTCGTAATCAATTAGTCTGCATATAGGCAAGGCTATAAATTCTTTAACTATCCTCTCCCTATAGGTTTTGATAATCTTCTTTCTTCTTTTTATTGAAGATAAAACACCCAAGAAACACCCTAAGCAGTTGACATCGCATTTCAGATAGTTTAAAAGTTTTATCCTTTTCTGGCTCAGCTTCTCATCCAACAGAAAGCAGGGGGTCCACTGCAACCCCTCCCTGTCTCAAGGCGAAAAGCAAGCCCACTCTTGGCTCCCCGAGGATTCCAGACAAAAGCACACAGTGCCTTGGAAAGTAACTGTGGATGCAAAATACCACCATTAAAGGAACTATTTTAAACTAAATTGATTCTTTGTTCTTTCGCCAATTGGCTAATCCTCCTCTTGAGACTTGCTTCCATTTCAGAAAGCTAAAAACACAGTTCTCGGACTGAGACTTAGAGGAGGTGTGGGATGTGCTGACACAGACATTAAGTAGGATTGAGCCAACCGGCAGCTGAATCTTGATTAGCTACTTGAGTATTTCTCCAGGCTCTGCACTCCTGTGGCAGAAGCATACCTGAGGAAGGGGGAGAAGTTAAGGGAAAACTAGAGCAAGGTCTGGGTGTCTGAGTCAGTGATGATGCTGACCAGGGTGGTCCATTACCTGCACCCCAGCCACTGGATTCCAGCAGTGACCTTCTTCCCTGCTGGGATTTTTAAATAGTTCCAGTTTCCCTGACTTTCATGAGAAAACTCTGGTATCCTGGTCTTCATCTTCACAATATGGTCCTGGGGAGAATCCTTAGGTGTAGGCAGCAAAACTATTCAATCTACCACATGGGGTTCCTGTTGCATTCCCCTTAAGGGAGGATCAAGGGTGGGAGGAAGGGGAGACATAAGGGATGGGGGTAGGATGGGCTAAGTCTAGGAAGACAGGGGAGTGACCAGAGCCTCATGAAGATCTCTCTTGAACTGAGTATTTATAACAACTTTCTTTTTTTATTTTTAAGCTTTTGCCATTATTTCATCATTACATGGTGTCTATTCAATGTACAAATGTAGATAGACAAAATAGAAAAAAGAATATTCATAACTCCAAACTCCTTAATCCTTCCAGTCATTTATAAGCATATATATGTATATATACATCCTTTACATAAATGAGATATACTATAAATGTTTACTTAATTATACATCATTCATTCATTTGGGGCTAATATATTATGATGATTAATTTTATATGTCAATTTGACCAACTACCAGGTTCTGAGATATTTGGCTAAATGCTACTTCTGGTGTGTCTTGGAGGGCATTTCCAGATGAGATTAGCATTTGAATTAGTAGATGAAGTAAAGCAGATTGCCCTTCCCAATGTGGGTAGGCATCATCCAATCCCCAAATTCACTCTCTCTGCTTAACTATTTAAGCTGGAACATTGGTCTTCTCCTATACCATCAGCTCCCCTGGTTCTCAGGTCTTCAAACTGGGACTGGAATTATACCAGTGGCTTCCTGAGCTCCCAGCTTGCAGAATATATATATATATATATATAATCTGGAGAACCCTAATACATAAACATACATTTATGTTAATATTTTTAGTGGTTGCATAGAATTTCATTGTATTAGTGAACCATGATTTAATTTTTTAGTTTCCTGACTGGGGCCATTTATATTGTTTTCAAATTTTTAGCTATTATAAGCAACCAAGAAAAGCATTCTTGAACACACATTACTGCACATCGTTCTAAACCTCCTGGTGGGCATGTGGCTTAATCATCCATCCCACCCTCCCTAGTTTCAGTGCCTGGATTACGATAGATGATGTAGGCCCTGGATTACGATAGATGATGTTGCCTGGGGTAAAGGAAAGCACAGCACCGCACACTCCATCCAAAGAACTGACAGGAGCTGGGTCATTTTAGGCCTCCTCAGAGGTTCTGACACCACCGTCATCCTCAAATTATGATTGAACAGTTGCTTTGTGGGGAACACACAGAGCACATATCTCTCAGACAGATCAGCTAATTCAGCCCTACTAAGCACAGCGTGGGGGGCCACCTGATAAGATAAACTCCACCCGAACCTACAAAGAATCTAGGTCAGAAATGACACTTTTCAGTCCCTTAAGGTGTTAAGGGACTTACAACAATAGGATCGTATCGTATAGTCCTTTCATTCTCACTCTGTTTTGAATGGTTTTAGAATAATTTTTAAACATAGCAACTCTAAGATGGATGGAGTTGGGAGGCTGCACTGGGGAAACAGTGAATTGGAGCAGGTAAGTATATCTGTCTCCAATTAGCAGTGCTGTCAGTACACATCATAAAATATTCAAAGGCTTCCCAGGAATGTCAACTTATTCATAATTGACTTAAATGAATCACTGACAAAAGGCCTTTAATCTCTCATATAACACATCTCTAAAAAATTAAAACTGGAATCACAGTTCAGTAAAAAAAAATATCCAGCAAGGGTTCCACTCACCTAGATGGATTTGTCATTTGATGTGCTGGCTTCGTGAAGCATCCCATATTTGAAGCAGCCCAGGACTTGGTCTCAGTGGTCTTTAGTGTAAAACATATCTGGGAGGATATAAATGGTATTGTCCTTCATGTTATCAGTGGAGTCTTAATTTATTTTTCATTTGGAAAAAAAAAATCAAAAAACGAAAGAAAGGAAGAGAAATCCTCAAACAGCTCACCTTCCCTGTATCTACAATGTTTTAAAGTCCAAATGCAGGTGTTTAGAAGAGCCCCAAATGGAAACAACTTCTGTGTGTCTTCTGTCCCTGAAAACTCTTTGCAGGGATGTGCCATGTTGTACCAGCTGATGAAAGCCAACGGGACACATCCCTTCCCAAATCTGTATGAAATGACATTCACTGGGTAGCTTGAAATTGGTCATAGTGGGAGTTTTTACCATGGAAATTGGCAAATGCTGCTAATCAGAGCTTTTTTTTACCCTGAGAGCCGGTTGTTAAACATTTACTAGCACTTCACTGCTTCCTGCCCTTGCCCACAGCCCAATAATCCTCTTTCTCTGACCAAGCATTGCCAGTGCAGAGGTGAGCCTCTGGCTGACCACACACATACTCTTTGGAACATTCAAGAAGTATTTCTTTATTAATTAATAAAAGACTAATCTTAGACTCATGAATAATGGGCATTTTCTTCTACCCTCAGAAAAGACTGAAATTCTACTTACAATTCTCATTTTCACTTTAATATTCCCAAGACACATTGACACCCTGAACTCTCACAGTAGTTAAAATAAGAAATTAAATTAGGAACTCTTGAGCAGCTTATTATAAATTGCTCATATGTCCATTTGTCAAACCATTAAAGCTTTCAGAATGGCTGTGACTCTTTCCTGGGTTGTTCTGGTCGGTGAGCAAATTGTACAGGCAAGCGTGTCCCTGAAGCCTGCCCCGGTAAACATTTAGTATTCAAGTGCATTGATTGGTTCATATTCCACAAGCCCCAGAATTGGATCATAAGTGAGAGCTGCTGCCTCTCTGTTATGAATTAGCATCTTTTCACATGAATGCATTAATAGCCATCATTAATAATTATCTGAGCATGAAACTGACAGACAAAAAACTTTCAGGTTATGACTCTATCACACCAATTTCATTTGTTGACTGATTTATTAAAATTTCATGGTTAAGATAATACAAATTTTAGCTATGCTAATGTACATGGATCTTAATTCTTTCTCTGCCAGACTGCATTACCAAACAATATCCTTTTCGAATTTTTAAATTTTTTTAGTGGACAAGAAGGATTGAATAGGGACCAAGATATGTAGAAAATGCTTAAAATATCCCATTAGCGACCAATAGCTCATAGATGCTTTAGTGGAATACTAAACTACTCTCTGTGCTGACCATGCATTCTAGTAAAAACTTGGAAACTCCAACTGGCTGCTTGGACTCAAAAAATAAAAGAAGAAGAAAGAAAGAAAGAAAAGGCAATGCCAATGCCACCTTTGTTTCTCTGAGTCCAGATGCTTTTGGGAATCTCTGAACTCAAACTTCTAACTATTTGAACTCCTCAATGGGATGGATCCAACCACCCATTGTAACAAATTACCACATACTTAGTGGCTTAAAACAACACAACTTTATGGTCTTACAGTTCCTCATGTCGTAAGTCCAAAATGGGTCTTACAGAGCTTAAATCAAGATGTGGGCAGAGCTGCATTCCTTTTTTAACTTTTGCCAGCTTCTAGAGACTGCCTGCATTTCTTGGCTTGTGGCCCTTCAACCATTTCCAAATCCATCAGGGTATCATCTTTAAATCAGTATCTATCTCTCTTCCTCTCTCTCTCTCCTTCCCTCTGCCTATCCTGCCTCCCTCTTCCTTTTCCCTTATGAGGATGCTTATGATTACATCTGGCCCAGCCAGATAGCCCGGGACAGTTGCCCCTATCTCAAGATACTTAATCACGACTGCAAAGTCCCTTTTGTCAGGTAATGTAATATATTCACAGTTTTTGAGGATTAGGACATGAATCTCTTAAAGGAGTCACTATTCTGTTTATCACAGTGTAAAAGCTGCCTCTGGAGGCTGGGAAGATAGTGGCTCATGGTTTGTAGTAAAGTCAACTGGCAACACTCTTGCCTGTATTAATTTGGAAGATAGAACATAGACTTGTGCATCTCACTAAGGAGACATCCAGACAGAATGTTAAAAGCGCCAACTGGGGGCTTCCCTGGTGGCGCAGGGGTTGAGAGTCCGCCTGCCGATGCAGAGGACACGGGTTCGTGCCCCGGTCCGGGAAGATCCCACATGCCACGGAGCGGCTGGGGGCCCGTGACCCATGGCCACTGAGCCTGTGCGTCCGGAGCCTGTGCTCCGCAACGGGAGAGGCCACAACAGTGAAAGGCCCGCATACAGAAAAAAAAAAAAAAAAAAAAAAAGCGCCAACTGGGTCTCTTGTGTAAGGAAGAGAGAGATTAGTTACAGAGCGAACTGTTCAGTTTGTGAGCAGAATTTCAAGGAAATACAGAAGAACCAGGATGTAATGGGTTGAAAAACAAAACTGTTTCACATTTTCACCACCTTTAGTCAGTAAAAGATTCAAAAAGTGAGAAATGACCACAGGGTTGAGATCAAATCATAAGTTTATTTATAAGACCTTTTGTTAAGACCTCAGAAGGATTTAGCAGAGTGCCTAGTTAGATCCTCTCAACTAGAATAAAGAATTTCTAAAAATCTTAAAGGCAGTGTCCCACAGCACCCTGACACTCAGCCCAAAATAGAGAGAGGTCTGTCTCAAAAAGAATTATGTATGTGACTTTAGGGGCATGAGGTGAACCCAGTCAGATTCATAGAATTCCCACTGAGTGGCCAAATATGAAAGCTTTGTATCAGCTTGGACTAACAGGGGTAGAGACAGTTCAAAATGAATACAGGCTCTACAAGCAGGAAGTAGGTTGAGAGAGCTGCTTAGCTGCAAACATAGGCCAGAGGGTAGAGGCAGAAGCCACAGAGAACAATGGATTAGGAAGACACTCCCAGGGGCAGAACTGGGCCCTCAGCAAGCAACATTCCCTTCTTTGGAATAAGGAGCCCTGACAATTTGTGCCTGGCTGGAGTTCAAAGATGCTCCGGACCCATGACTGCTCTGAGCTGCTCCTACCCCTCTCCTTTTTGTATTTTGCTTCATTTTATCTTGCTTTGTATACTAAAGAATGGCAGACTGCCACAGGCAGCGCCTCGTTTGGATGTATCTGGAGTTTCAGAAGCTTCATCACCCTACAAATGGACCTTGAGAGCTTGTTTGGAGGGTCTAGCAGGGGAGCTCAGCTACTCATATGCTCTTGACCAAAGAATGATCCTCCTGTCTCAGGGAAGGTCATCCTCTTCCACTGGGCACACAGTTTTGGGATGAATGCACACGGAGCAGTTACAGAGGAAGGGGCCACCGGCCTAGCCAGCCAGATCAGCAGAATCAACCCTGGCGATCCTTGGCGTGACAGATGTCACAGCCATATCACCCTCACATTCTACCTTTCTCTCCTTTTTGAATGAGACTTTTTTTTTATTGGATTATAACTGCTTTACAATGTTGTGTTAGTTTCTGCTGTACAATGAAGTGAATCAGCTCTATGTATACATATATCATCTCCCTCCAAATGAGATTTTCTACAGTGGTTATCTTAACTCTGTCCTCTGTCTTACCATTGTATATTGGGTAAAGCAGTCAGGTCACATCTCTTTGTAGTTCGCACATCTCCAGATTAAGAGGAACGACACCCAAAAGGCCTTATCCACATCTAGACCGGATTCAAATCATGAATTCATAAGTTTCTCCCATGATGTCATAATTAGGTGAGACTCAGGTCTTAAAAGGTATGAGTGTATTTGCATATGGGAGAGAACAGAGAGCAGACTATCATATATGGTTAAATTAATCTCCTCAATGAATACCTCCCAGTGTTCACACCAGTGTGAAGTCTCCTTGCATTGACTCTGAACTTGGCTACATGAATTCCTTTGGCCCACAAGACATCAGAAAACGTGACAGAAATAGAGACTTGAGAGGAGCTTATACATTTGGGGCATGTCCTCTTGTAATGCTGCTCCCACCGTGGCTCAGTCTAGCCTCCTTGAGACTGAAGGACCACGTAGAGAAAGAGGCCCAGCCATCCCAGCTCTTCAGTTGAGCCCAACCTCCAGCCATCCCTCCAGCTCAATGCAGTCACGTGAATCCGCACAGGTAAAACCAACAGAAGACCACATAACCAACCAACAGAATAATTTCACAGCAGTAGATAACTGATGTAGGAATTTAGTATGAACATGGTCCCAGGAGCTACTGAGAGCAAATGAAGTTAAGTTCCATTTTAATTGCCCTTTTCTAGTATCTGGACCCAGCCTGCCTCCCCATCTACCCTACAAATCAGCCTACCGCTGGTACCATTGCCTCCACTGATACCAGATTATCACTCGCAAATTCCATTCCTCAGAATCATAGTCCAACTCTGGCCCTCACTTACCTCCACCCTAAGACTCCCAAAATCATACTTTTAGATTTTGAAGAATATTTGTCAATAGTTTTATGAGATTTTATAATAACATCAGCCCTTATACGATGTCATAAACACGTCCTCGGGTCTTCTGTTTTCTAGTAGCCCAGATTATAAAGTTACGTGTCATGAGAATAAACCATCTTCATCAAGAGGAACTGTCATAGCATAGTAGCTTGTTTTAGGAGCCACTTCTCTGCCTCAAAATATTTTATCATTTTTACAAGAATAGCTGGTGTTATTTTAAGTAGCTTCCTTTCAGCCTCCAGGTGGTACCTGAGCCTGGGCTCCCAAGCAAAGTCAGGAAAATTAGAAACTTCTTTACCACATAGATTAATGAGGCAGATCCAAGTACTTCAGCACCTAAGTCCCTCCTGGGAAGTAACTTCTATGCTTAGGAAAGGGCTCTTCCAGGTTGCAGTTCACTGTATCATCTCTGGGAAAATGAAAGAGGGGAATGACCCAAACAGGTTCCTTTACTCATTGCTAAGGACATGGGAAAGAAACAGGTTTTCACTGTTACATCATTTCACCTGCTTGTATCCTCACACCCATGAGGTGGGCAGAGCTGTATCATCATCACCACTTTACAGATAAGGAAACCGAGGCTCCAGAAGAATAAGTGATGGACACAAGGTCACGGAGCTTGTATGAGGCATAGCCACAGCTTCAACTTAGGGCCCTCTTTGAAACAGTATTTTGACAATTATTACTTTTTGGAGAAACCTGGACCCAAGCCTTGAATCTGTCTGTTAGAAGCAAGTGAATTTGAGCTCATTTTGTAATTTCCTATTTGAACTGTAGATATTAGTAGTTTCATTGCAGAGTTGTCATGAGGATTAGATGAGATAGAGCGAAGGGGAAACAGAGAGGCAGCA